AAATTTAATTATACTGTGATTGCCAAAGAGAAAAGACGAGATGCTGTATTGTCTAAATTATGCGCGGCCATTCAGAATGGTGCAGTGAAAGATTTAAAGGGAAATGATTTTCGCTCCTTTATCAATAAAAATTTAGAACTCACTGTGGAGTATGGTTGTGTTTTATGGGGATATAGAGCCGTCATACCACAACAGCTGAGAAACCATATACTTAAAGAATTGCATAGGTCTCATCTAGGTATTAGCAAAACCAAAGCACTGGCTAGGTCTTATGTTTGGTGGCCCAAAATCGATGAACATATAGAAACACTGATAAAGAGCTGTGTTCCATGCCAAGAGGTACAGCCCAGTCCAGAATTAAGTGCGCTAATTCCTTGGACACCTACTGAATCGATTTAGAGCCGCGTTCATGTAGATTTCGCAGATTCTTATTTGATTACCGCAATGCAAAGCATTGTAGCACAGGCGAGTCACCATCAAAACTATTTGTTAATCGAGCTTTAAAAACGCGATTCAGTTTACTCAAACCACCTCTAACGAAAGAAAAAATCATTAAAAGTCAACAATCGAATGTTCGCAACCACCAAGGTAAACGCAACGTTGAGTTCTGCAAGGGTCAAAAGGTTTTAATTCGCGATTACCGAGATCCAAATAAACAAAATTGGCCTCAAGCTGCAATAAAAAAACAATTAGGTACAAGATCTTATTGCTGCATCGTAGCACATAACAACCATGAGACAAAGAGACACTTGGATCAGATACGAGAATTATCAGTAATTGAACAAACCCGTGAAGCCAACGCCGAAGCAAGCAATAATTCTTCCATATCTTGTTCATCAGCAAATGATCAGGAGGGTGAATATCATATGGATCTTCCGATGCGAGAAATGTCAAGTAATGACACAATAAGAACTCAAACAGGTAGAGAATTGCGGCCTCGCAAAGACGGCAAAGTTATAAAATCGTATCAGTCCGATGTCGACAACTAATATACTTATTACATTTTATTTTTAGTTTCTATATGATGTAATTGTAAAATTTAAAGTTTCAAACATTCTTACAATATTTGTATTATAAATGGCATGCAATAGTTTTGAATAACATATATAGGGTGCACACAGTTCTATATTATCTACTGTGTTAATTTTGCCACCTGGTAACTTTAAAACATTTTACCATGTGGTAACTTTGTTTGTTGTTGGTTCCCATACTAATTAGCAGGGAACAGATTTTATGGAAATTGCTTTTTTTTCTGCTAAGGAGATAGAGTATATTCGATTAAGAATGTCCGCGATTTAGCTTTCCCTGAATCCATATATACACATTTGAAGTTGCCTTTTTTTTGCCTTTTTTAAGATATTTGCCTTTTTTTGCCTTTTCTACCTTTAAAAAAGTGATTATAGCATTTACAATATCTTTTTTTAAGATTAAAAAATATACACATGCCCATGCAGCTTCTAGAAGCACAGGGACCTCTTGCCAAATTGGTGTTGAAAAAATTCAAAGCCGTTATCTCAGCTAACGTAGGCTTGAAGACAATAAGGGGTGTGTATAAAATTGTAAAAGGCGTGGAAAACGCCCTTATTCCTGATAATATGAACATTTCAAACGTTCCATATTTAAATTGGGCTCCACTTGTATCAACTTACGTCGAGCGCACATTTAGTACATTCAAGGCTTTTCTTCGCGAAAATCGAATGAAAATGCTGCCAGAAAACTTCAAAATGCATCGTGTGGTTCAATGTTACTACAACTATATAGATTAAAGTTTTATGAGTTAGAAACTCGAAAGGAAGGTCAAAGATTCAAAGTACAAATTTTTCATATAATGAAACTACTTCATACTTTTTCTCTTTTTACTTGCAATATAAGCATTTCCAAAATAAATATATTTATTGATTGTTCTTCGTATTTTCTGTCATTTTTAGTGCCTTATTTTGCTTTTTTTGCAATACCTTTTTTTGCCTGTTCCTGCCTTTTTCGTTAATTTGTTTTGCCTTTTTTGCAATACCTAGTGCCTTTTTCGCTATTTATTTTACCTTTTCCATCCTATTTCGTTACTTTATTTTGCCTTTTTTATAGGTTTTTAGGTCCTAAAAATGCGTTCCCTGCTAATTAGAGATAACACTATTGGGCAAAATTACTCGACTTTGTCTCATGTTTATGTTCTGGCATCTATCGCTGCTTGTACCAGAGAACTTAGATAGATAGAGAAGGTGCAAACTGAAAGTGGAAACTATTCGCGGACGAAAAATTAACTGCGTTAGAAAAGATCAAGTCGGAATGTAGAAATTCTGTTGAATTTAATGTTGATAACATAATACAATGTTGAGCAAAATGAAATGTGATGTTCTTTGCGAGCAAATAAACGAAAATATGGTAAATCTTCACATAATTTTCATTAATTTGTAATTTTTGGTAAATTGTTTATCTTGTTCTCCTTTTATGAAGATGCAAATACAATTTAAAATAATGATAGTTTGGCATAAAGTTTACACACATATGAGTAGTCCACTTGCAAACAGCGTTATGGGATTTTATAATAGAACGCCATAAATTTGAAAAAAACGACTACGACAACAAGTAACATTTAAATTGAATCTTTTTTTATTACCTAAAAATTTGGATAAATAAGAGCGTTATAAAATTGTAGCATAACATAACATGACATAAGATAATATTAGCTGTCTATACGACTTAAAGCAGTTTTCTAAGTTCATTAGATGCATACTTTTGAAAGATTATAAATAAGTATGATAGCGACTTTTGGAAGAAGAGTTAAGATTTGATGCTATTTTTTTCAGAATATAAAAAGATTTTGCACTGTGTTGTTACTGGACATAAAACTGTTTTAACTACTGGTACGTAATCCACCAAAAACTAAAAATTTTACATAGCGCAATTTGCAAGTGGACTACCTATATTTACATACATACATAGACTGGAAATCAAAAGTGAATGCATGGTGTTTTTTGCTTAATATTTGTAATGTTTTTCAATAAAATATTTTTTTTTATTATCTTTTTATAAAAATGTGGTTCATGCTTTAATCAAAACTATACAAGTCAAACTTTTAAGCTTTATACTGAACATAGAAAAATTCAACGAACCTTCGTCTAAATTTTGACCTGTTTAATCTGAATATTTAGGAACATTTTGAGTACGCAGATAGATCGGTTTTTTAATTCTAGTGGAACCAGATCAAGTTTTAAGCGGCTAAAAATTCGGGTTGATTTTTAATGATTTTTTATTGCTGACGGCTTTTGCACTTTTTACCAAATAAAAGGGAATTTCTTGTAGAATAAAATGCACATGACCGTTTGCAAACAAATACAAAAAAAAATTTGCGCTATTCTTTATAAATTTCACTTGTTATATGCATAAAACCGCAAAACCCGTCGAAAATAACAAAAAAGCTGAATTTAAAAACATTGCAAATATTAAACAAAAAGCCGGATGCACTCACTTTTGATTGCCAGTGTACATACATATTTGTGTTTAAAATTAAGTACTTATGAAATAATTTTTGTGGCACGAACATATACATACTTGCTTTCTAAAAAAGGGAATAAAAATTGGACTCGCATAAAATTTTAATTTCAATCACTAATATTTTAGTGAAAACATTTACAATAAAGCTTTCTGTAACTTTTGGCGTATTTGAGCGATTATGTGAAATTATACATGCGTTTGTACCTACATATCCATTTATAATATTTTAAACAAAGCGAATAGTAAAATTTAAAATGGAATATGGAGTTGACAATTAAACAAAAAACAAAACAAAAATTATTACTTGGTCCGTCCGGGTTTTGAACCAAGACAAACGGCGAGACGCCAAAAAGTTGCACCGCCTCTAGCATACGCGCCACAGTACATTATTCAAATTGTAATCTCTAAATCACTACATATATGAAATTCTTCATTCATCCAAAAAGACAAACGCATAAATATGTATGAATTAATAAATGTAAATATGTGCATACATATGTACGATTGATCTGCTTTCGTCTAGGTTACGAAATATTTAGGTTTTCGCATAAGTTAACATTTAATAAAGCCATACTCGTACATTTTATATGGAGAATAATAATATTTCGTTTAAAATTCTGCATGTAAACATGATCTGGACGATGCGTTTAACTTTCATGAAAATTAACTAAAAAATTAATGTTATATTAACAGCTCGAATGAAAAACACTATGTCCGCTAAAATGGGTTAAAATCAAATTTGAGTTGACATATTTACACGCATACATGCAGACATACATATGGACATATACAGTGGACTAGCACTAGCTTGGACATAGCATATCTTGTACTTTGATGTGGTTGAATATTTTTATGGTACTGAAGATTTGCTTACGGGTGAAAAAAATTAAAAATCATCCTTGGATATATGTAAATATATTTTTATAAACGTTTTGAAGTTTAGAAATTTTTAATATTCAAAAATAAATAGAATTTTTTTGCAATTATACAAATGGTGTTCAGGGCACATTGACCCACCTGTACAAAAATCGTGGCGCGTCATGGACAAAAATTTTACAATTTCGGACCGAAAAATGTGCAAACGAGCAAAGTTGCCACGTTACATTTGTGAACTTCCGATAAAACCACATATGTTTGTGAATTTAGGAGTTTTGATTTTATTAAAAAAAAAATAATGTATTTTCCTGCAGAAAACGTTCACTTCATTTAATGTTAATTAAAATTACACCCTAAAATACTAGTTAATGACTGAAATATTGTTGTGGAACAGAGAAATAGATTGTTTTGCCAAAAATTACCAAAAATTATCAAAATTCGAGATAACTAGTTTTACTGGATATAGAGAAATAGTTGCCCCTTTTCACTTTGCTGACCGAGATTTCTTAAATTTTAGATTGTAGAATTTTTGTGTCGGACTGAAAAAGTTGCGCTTGTAGGTGATGAATTTGCGGGGAGATGTGCTGCGGTTGTTATGAATGAATTTATTTGGCCTTGAGAAATACGCGCATGCGTTTATGAATGAAATAGTTCTTGTTGTACTTAAATATGTGCGTGATTATGTATGTATGCTGAGTTGTACATATGTATGCATGTGCGTAGTATTTGGCAGAAATATGCACATACGTATCTATATATGCATGTACGCATGTATGTATTTATGTTATCAATTAATGGAGTATGTGGGATATGCGTGGGAAATGCATTTTCATTGGACTGCAAAACTATTGGGGCATATTCGTAGACGAAATAAAGACGACTCTGAAGTTAAAGTTTGTGAACCTCAAATAAGAAGGAATTTATTATATGTATGTTATAGTATGTGCATGTAAGAACGTTATCAATAAATGATTTTCGACGTTGTTTATGTATGTATGTACACATAAGTACATAGAGGGGAACGTTATCAATGCATATATGATTTTGGAGTATGTGCATTTTTACATATGTAGCGCATTCGTAAGTACATACATACATCCGTATGCGAATGCGTGAGAAATAAAGTCGAC